TACATACAAAGGACCAAAAACTCGATACCATTCCTTGAGACACAGTAGTGCTTCTACACTCAAGTCGGAGAGCTTGTTTCTCTGAGGAGTCAAAATCACCTTTGTTTTCGAAAAGGCACCTTCAGACGGGCAACTAGTAGCAGGGATGGCCAGGTATTTCTGGGCCATCTCACTCAAGATAGGGTAGCTTGTAACTTTGCTTTTCCAGTAAAGCAGGATGTCGGCATCTGCGGGCTCAACCAGATCACTTAGATATCGGCCAAGCTCGCTGTCAAATGAAGCCGGCCCTGTGTTTGTCCCATAGATCTCAGCCCCAAAGTAGGATTGACTGGTGCTCTTGGTAGCTTGACGTGCGTCGGGATCAGGTGATTTAAACTTCAAGGCTTCGGCACAGAAGATTTCTTTCAGCTTTGTAGGAGATGTGGCATAACGATTAAAGATATTGGATTTGGCCTGTTGTAGAAGATTAAGAGAGATGATGATGTTAGTCAGGTTAAACACAGGCAGGATACATTAAGTCTAGGTAGTAGCAACCACACCTCAAAGAATGTCATCTTGAGTCGAGGATCCAGTATAGTAGCACATATAGCACCGGGTTTGAATAAAACGTTCTTGAAATAGGTCTCGAGCTTTTCAACCATCTCTCGAGCGGCAGGAATCAAGTGGTTATTGTCATAAGTTGTCATAACCTGAATGTACATACAATTAAACAAATAAGCTTTTTGTATTCTTCCAATCATGAAGGTTAAGAACTCCAGGACTCACGTTGTTTAATCGACCCATCACTGCAATATAGATTGGTATCACAGTGTGTAGTGTAGGAAACTTTGATCGACAAAGCTCATTTGTAGCTTCGGAGAGCGGCTCCAAAAAATTGCACATTTGCTCGACATAAGTCCACTCGATATCTGAGAGCTGAAATTTGGTAGCACCAGGACGTTCACAGAACTGTTGGACAGCTTTTCGGAGGCGGAGAAGGCGTCTAAACATCAGGTAAGTCGAGTTCCAGCGAGTTTCAACGTCAGGGGTCAGAGCTACAGCAGTTCCCTTGGAGATCGGATCGATTTCATCTATATTCTTGGTTGGCTCGGGAAGGAGGGAACCAAGTGCAGAGTTCACCTCAGCTTCATCTGCTAACCCTTGATTAGCTGGATCAGTTGAATTAAGAGCAAGACTTCGTAGTAGTGTAACAGTCTTTCCAAAGGCCTCCGATCTCTGTGGACTGCTACGTACCCAGATCACAAGGCCGTGACATCTTGACCTGATTGTTGAAAGGTTTGCTGTGCGAGAATCAGCAGGATCAACCAGATTGGCTAGGCCCATCGGTCCGCTGGAGGTATCTGAGTGACCAACAAGCTCATCTTCAACAACTCCAAATACATCGAGACCTTTGTGAGCAGCAAGATTAATGACATGTGCGACACAACCATAGAGCGACTCGTTAGGATCAAAGTCTTCAATTTCGGGAGCTTCGTGTATGAGTTTTGCAATCTTGTTATTCTTGCTTTCGTTATCAGCAGTGATTGTTGATAGTGCATTGACAATGTTGTACTTCTTCAAGTAATCTACAAACAGATCAGCATAATTAGAAGCCACATGACGCCCTGCATTCAGTTTTGGATGGGATTGAAAGATGTTAGCCTAGTGAGGTTTGCTGGAGAGTAAGACAATACCTGAAGATAACTCACCTGAAACACGGGGGATACCAATGGTCAGTGACTTAAGCTCAAAGTTGTCTGTGATGAAATGAGCTGTGATCGACATGTAAGACCGTTGATTAGGTGATGTCCAACCGTCTTGTGTAAAGGAGATATACTTCGCTTTGCTGAATACACTATTCTTGATGTAGTTCTGGTAGAAGTGAAAGATCGAAATTGTATGTCTGGCTATGGTGTGACGTTTCACCATCATTCCTGCTGTCTGAGAATTACAAAGCTTCAAAAGATCTTTGAAAGATCGACGGTTTATCAAAGAGAAAGGCAGGTCGGCTTCAGCCATGAAATAAGATATCGCCGTCTTGAGAGATTCAACATTCAGTGAAACCTGTTCAAACAAAAGATTCAACACAATCGTGAGTCTCAAGAAATAACACAATTGATTAGATCACAAAAGTCTTACCACGTGCTGAGTCTTGATTCTCTTGAAGGACCCCTCCAGGGTTACTTGACTTGACTGCTCCACCAGCTTTGGGTTGTACAATCCATGCAGTCTCTGAAGATGGTCTGACATTGCCTTTGTACTAGAAGTCTTGTCGCGGGCAAGGGACCTTCCACAAATCTTTCCACTAGATAACACTACTGAACACACTGTCTTATCGCCTTGGATGGTGAAATGGCACCATACATACGAAGACTTGCCACGCTTTGCTACAGTGTCTTGAGACAAGGAGTGAGGAGAATCAGAAGCCATTTATCTAAGAACACTGTATTATTGAACTAGTGAGGAGAATGTGATGGTAGGTAATATCTGAAAAGTGTTGAGAGCAAAGAAAAAGAACAAATAATGAGGATGATGGATGATGGATGATGGATTTAAAATGGTAATATGAAAACTAATTGGCTAGCAAGATGAGACAAAGTGAGACAGACAAGCGCTGAAAGGAAGAAGATACACAACGGATTGCTTTTATGAGCGTAATTCAATCACGTTACTTGTGATGAAGTAGCACTGGGCAGCTCACAATTAATCTTTTAGGGTGAATGTATGTCCAGGAAAGTCTTAGGTTCAATAGAAACCCAAACAGTGAGCAGCAATAGCTTCCTTTTATGAGCTTATTTGGAGCAAATTGCTTGTGAGTATATTTATACATGCATGATCAGCCATGGGTAGCAGTGGGCACTTCACCAATCAAGCTTTTCATGTTGAAATATTTCCAGGAAAAGGTCAGTCCAATCGAGAACTCGCGGGGACTTGACGGAGAACCGACATATCGGTAGGGCACCGTTTTCTCGGTGGCGGGGACCGGTCTACGTGTCCGGGGAGGAGTCCCCGTCGAGGCGGGTTCGGGCCGGAAGCCGGGCAGGGCTCTTAGATTTTGCTCGGTGGGTCGTTCTGGCCGGTCCCCGAGCCCGAATGCCCGGGGCTCATCCTGAGCCCCAAGCCAAAAAAAAACGCGGGGGATGGCCATCCCGAGACCGAGCCTCAGGCTGCCCCTGCCCCCTACCCTAACCCTACCCGATGACTCCCTGACACGCTGGAGCAAACCAAAGCTTGACCCTAACCCCCGGAGGGCCCCTAAATACTTGGTGTCAAAAAACAGTGACACAAAAGAATCAAATGATTCTTGAAAATGGTGCCTGCCTGGTTGACTAAACAAATTTGATGGGAGGGTGGTTACTACTAACTAAGGTATGTGTTTGAATTTGGGTGTCTCACATTTTGGAGCTTTTTTTAAAAAAAGGTTCATTGCATAAAACACTAACTAAACAAGTTACAAAATTTAGGACTAGTTCACCTACACAACAAGGACATGCTGATGTCCTGGGGACGTCAGGATTTTTTGCAGGGGAAAGGATATCCTGACAAAACTGATCCA